CGTTAAAACCCTTTACCGGTCGGACCTAACCGGTACCGGACGGACGGTCGTTTGGTTAACGAAACGACGGACGGTTAAGGGTTAAACGGTAACGTAGTTTAACTTTTACGTTAAAGTTAAACTAACTAACGTACCCGAACCTACTACTACTAACTAAACTAAAAACTAAAACTTACCTTACGTTAAAGTTTAAAGTTAGTTAGGTTAAGGGAAAAGGAAAGGAAAGGTTAAAAGTTTAACTTACCTTAACTTAAAGTTAACGGTACGTTACTTTACCCGTTAAAAACCGTTAAACGTACGTTAGTTTAAAGTTAAACTAAACGAAAAGGAAACGAAACGAAAGTTTAAACCCTTAACCGGAAAAAGGAAAATGGTTGGTTCATGTACGCTACTCGCACTGCCGTTGACACACTATAAATCGCACTACCATTAACGCAGCAACGAATTAGGTTTTTCCGGCAGCGAAGTCGATTCAAGAGGGAAATCGATTCTACTGTAAATCGATTGTAAATCGAGGAGAAGAGAATTTACCTGGGAAAAAGGTGGGTTGTCGTTGACGCACTCGCGCTGCCGTTGACGCACTGTAAATCGCAGGACGCAGCAGCCTGTTAGGTTTTTTCAGCAGCGATTTAGAATTGTTTTATTTTTTTTTCGTTCAACTGGGGTGTAGGTTTTTAGTTCTATTGTTTTCTAATTGGGGAGGGAAACATAAGGTTTTTAGTTCTTGTTTTCTAATTGGGGAGGGAAACATAAAAGGTATCAAAAAAATTGGAGGGAAAGATTTTCGCGTGGCTATTATTTTTATTGCCAGTAAAAGGATATTTTTTACTGGCTAATGTTCATATGCCGCTAATATTTAAGCTTAAAGAATTTATTAGCGATCATTGCCTTATTGCCGCCAAAGGCCTTTTTTGTAGTAGTGTCCGGAGTCTGTCCACACCACCCCAGTGAGCGCGGTTGATTAAATTGAGGGATGGATCTTCCCTGGACATGGATCTTGTCCGTAGCATTATATACCTGGAGATAGATCTTCTCCACGGGCTGGATTGGCCCTACTCATTACTGAGTAACTGTTGGTCAGTTGATGTATATATTCCGTGATGGATCTTTCCTAGGCCGGATTGGCCATATACGGTACTGAGTGATTGGACATGATGAGCAGAAAGTGTGAGACAGTGAGATTGAGTACTCTGAGAGTGTGATTGAATGATTCATCTCTGAGATACGTGGAATTGGTATGCACACATGACATACAGGCATAGAGATGCATTTTCCTCATCTTGTACGGTATCACGTCATTCATGACTTTTCACACATATTGATATGTGGGCATAGAGAGGTATTTCACACTTGCTATTTGGAAAGAAAATGAAACATCTTATTTATTGTGGAAAGGATTTTTTTTAGAAAAATTACAGTTTTAAAACTATCTCATATTTTTCGACGATTTCGGTAAAGGATTTGGATTTTCACTAATATGCTGGAAAAGCGGAACTATTTTCGAAAATTATGAAAAAGCTGAGCAGTTTAAATTCCGAGTTACTTCTTCTATTATTTGCTTTGCATTGTTATAAACTGATGTTGGTTATTGGTGTTGGACCAAACCTATGTTCCAGCTCGTCACTACTTTCATCCTAGGGTTAGGTTTGTTACTTATTGAGTACATGGGATCGGTTGTACTCATACTATACTGCTGCACCTTGCGTGCAGATGTTGACTGATGATGTTGATGTGATCGACGAGAGCTGGGATTGAAGATGTAACCTCCGTTCCGGTTGTAGCTGCCTCTTGTTCACGGTAGCCTTAGATTTTTATGCTAAAGTTCGTGGGGTGAGTTTTGGTTAAGGATCGTAGTGTTCTAGGAAGGATAAGTATCAATTCGAAGGCGATTCGGGAGGAACTCGGAGAATTAGGACAGCTTGGTAACGGGTTGGATCAACATGGTAATGGATGTGATTGGCTCTTTTAGTTCTTATGATTTGGTGAGTCTCTGCAGGTGTTTTGTGGCATTGCCCTTAGATGCGGTTATGATAACTTGGTTATGGGCAAATGGATTCCAAAGTGTTCTCCATGATTTATACCATGATTTGATATGGGTATTTCCTACTGGCATGAGGAATATGTTGCGTATTATGATTATCTCCTGGATGAGATCAATTGGAAGGTTCTTGACTAACCGGGTATGTATTATGCTGGTGACTCAGAGTTGGTTAAGAGATTCTCGTGCTTTTCATATAATGGAATGATAGATGCGGTGTGCTGTGTAGGGTTGAGATTTGCATGTGTGAGGTCACAGTTCAGTTTTGAAAGGAAGGTTATGAATTATTAGGCAGCATGGACGGTATTAGATGACTTGGCGTATGATGTTGCTATATGGTATTTCCTAAAAATAGTGTACATTTCAGAAGGCGCATTGTTCTATGGCTTGCGGATGCTTCATTGGTATTATAGTGCTCGCCTGATCTACTGCTGATTTTTAGATATTGCTATGTGGCATGGAAGAATTAGAGAAGTATTCCTCGTGGAATTATCGTGTACGAGAGATGTGTTAGGCATTCGGGCGGTGGGTTAGCATCAGATATGGTGATTCGTATGTTCTATGGATTTGGAGACTGGGAGTTCACGTAAGCAGGTTGTTTCGTGGTTGCGGACTGTTAAGATGTGGCCAAAGCTAGCGAGATGATAGTATGTGTTATGATTAGGTCGTTGTGGACCTTAGAAGGTCTATTTATCTAGTTATGGGTGACTAGGGTTGATTTGGGGGTTCATTGGTAGGTCTAACGAGGATATGTATTCTACACCGGGTCGGATTTGTTGACTCCGAACTGCTATTGTTGAGGGATGTGCCATTGAGTTAGAATTGATTTTATTCGTATCGTATATGTTCTATGTGTTACTCTTCCATGCTATGAAGGGTTTTGATTCGTTGGTTATATGCACACATGGTGTGGTTCTTTTTGGGCCTTTTGCGAAATTCGAGCGAGATGGTTATTGGGGTGTGGAATGGTTGATTTCGCCTTAATTACGGTCTGTCCGGATTGTGGTATACCGTGTTATTTTCTTCTCCATGGTTATGGTCATGCGCTTCGTGTACTTGATGTCAAATTGCATGTGGTTGTTGATTTTGAGCATTGTGGCTTGAGGTATTTCATATGGACCAGTTTTTGGATGGGGTCACGCATTGTAGCTAGGTTATGTTGGGAGATGATCCTTTGTGTTAGGTTCGTGTGTCTTGGTTCTAATAGGTATTTTGGGTTCATCGCATTTCGGTTGTGGTGGTACTTTTTGAACTTGTGGGATGGTTCTCTCATTTGAGTCATTTTCCATGATTGAGTAAATTTGGAATGTTGCTTATCGGTGCACGTATTGCACGGGTTGTGGCTCTAGATTGTATTGATGTGGCATGTCACTAGAGAGGTTGTGTTGGATGAGATGAGGTCACTGGACCTAGAATAGATACTGTTGGATTTGATTACAGCATGTATTGAGGATAATATCGAAAGTCGGCTTAGAAATTGGATATTGTTCTTGTCGAAGGAGGGAGAGCTCCATGACTTGTTGGTCTGATAAGTGGTTACGAGTTTCTGCATGTTTCTTTCATCATTGGCAGTGTACAAAGGTTCAGAACAAGATTTTAGTTGATATGAGGTTTGTTACCGGTGTCGAGTTGGTTATCGAGCAGCTATTGCGGTTGGAAGTTATGGCTATGGGTATTTGAGTTGTGTGGTATATCCTGTAATTGTGTCTTGTCATGGTTATGGCTTGATACAGCTTGTTCAGACTTACACAGTGTGTATATGCGAAGTTCGGGTCTTGTAGTAATTACGGATGTTGGAAATTGGATACTGTGGTTTACAGACTAAGGATGGAGTAATGATATTCAGTTTGTGGTGTTGTCGGGCCTAGTTAAAATAGGGTGACGTGGGATCATCCCCGGGTATGTGCATGGTAAGGTCACACGCCGGTTTGACAGCTTAGGAACAACTCTAGGCACGTTCGAGGACGAACATATGTTTAAGTAGGGGAGAATGTAACGACCCGACCAGTCGCTCTGAGCATTTGCATTTCGCTCTGTAGTTTGGGGGTACGAGTAGCTCAGTATGATGATTCTGACATATATGAAATATTTGAGTTCATTCCGAGTTGATTTGATATGTTTCGGTGTGAGTTTTTGGAAGTCGAAAGTTTGTAAGTTCATTAAGTTTGATTTGAGGTGCGTTTCGTTGTTTCGATGTTGTTATGCGTGAATTGAGGCATCGAGTAGGTCCGTATTATGTTACGGAACTTGTTGGTATGATCATACGAGGTCCTGAGGGGCTCCGGTGTGTTTCGGATAGGTTTGGGTTATGTTGCGCTTGTTTTTCTTATGTTTCGACGTCGTTTCTTCAAGCATAAATGGTACCACATTGAACAAATAAGCTCCGATTTCTATTTTGATTGATTCAAGAGCCTAACTTGACTAGAATTTCACAAAGAATCCATTGGAGGCATCAAAAGCCAGTTTCGGGATTGTTTGGCACAAGAAACGAGGCAAAACACTGTTAAATCGAGGGTTTTGTTCATCTAATATATTTTGAGTTGGGGAGCTCGGATTTGGGCAATTTTTGGAGATGATTTTCATTATATGGATTGGGGTAAGTGTTCTATGCTTGATTTTAGTTATATTTCATGAATTCATCTTTGTTTTTGGCATTTGATTGATGATTTCAAAGTGAAATTTGGGAGTTTTGTCTAAAATTTCATAAAGTGAATTTTTGAGTTTTGAACATCGATTCGGAGTTGGATTTGAGTGAAACCAGTATGGTTGGACTCGTAATTGAATGGGTTGTTAGATTTTGTGAGTTTTGTCAGGTTTCAAGGCGCGGGACCGAGTG